AAGTACAAGCCAACAAAATTCAGTTGGCATCCATCCAGAAAGTGCTTTAGCCATAATATAGATATATAGATATATCTATATATCTATACGGTATATTATATAGATATATATTATATTATATATATATATACTTATTATTATAAGTATTAGGGTACAAAATATGGGTCTATTATGGGTATGTTGCAATGTACACAGTATGAAGGTATGTTATGAATATGCTATAACTATAAGTATGTACAGGCTGTAGTGAGTGTACAGGCTATGAACAGGATATAAATATGAAAACTACACAGAAATATGAAATATAAAGCTATACAGAAATATGAGCTATGCAAGTTATAAACGGTTGTAAACAGTTGTAGAATTATAATTATTATATTGTACAGAATGATTGTCTATACAGCATTTACAGTAGTGGTGGTTCAGTCCATGTTATTTTTGTGTGTATTAGGGTATAGTTTTCCATTTGTTTGTTTTTGTCCATTGTGTGTGTTCAGTTATAGGTGGTTGTGGGTGTGTGTATGTTCAGTCCATGAGTTTAATGTGGGTCAGATGTCAGGAGGCAGAGTTCAGGAGTCTGACAGCTGTGGGGAAGAAGCTGTTCCGGTACCTGGTGGTCTTAGTCCGGAGGCTCCTGTAGCGCCTCCCAGAGGGCAGGAGGGTGAAGAGTCCACGTGATGGGTGACTGGGGTCTTTGATGATTTTCCCAGCCCTTTTCAGACACCGCTTCCTATAGATGTCCTTTATGGCAGGGAGTGGTGCTCCGGCGATGCGCTGGGCAGTTTTCACGACCCTCTACAACGCCTTCCGGTCCGAGGCAGAGCAGCTCCCATACCGGACTGTTATACAGTTGGTCAGGATGCTCTCGATGGTGCAGCGATAGAAGTTCACCAGGATGTCTGAGGACAGGTGGTTCTTCCTCAGAGTCCTCAGGTAGAAGTGGCGCAGGTGAGCCTTCTTTACCAGCTTGGAGCAGTTGGTCATCCAGATGAGATCCTTGGAGATGTGGACTCCCAGGAACTTGAAGCTGCTCACACGCTCCACAGCCGTCCCTTTAATGTAGATGGGTGGATGTGGGTCAGCATTCCTCCTGTAGTCCACGATGAGCTCCTTGGTCTTCTCGGTGTTAAGCAGCAGGTTGTTTGTGTCGCACCACTCAGCCAGAGGATCCACCTCCTCCCTGTAGGCGGCCTCATCGTTGTCATTGATGAGGCCAATCACCGTGGTGTCATCTGCAAACTTAATGATGGTGTTGGAACCATCGGCAGGTCTGCAGTCGTGGGTGAAGAGGGAGTAGAGGAAAGGGCTCATCACACAGCCTTGTGGTACACCGGTGTTCATTGTGATTGTAGATGAGCAGCAGTTATCCAGCCGGACATGTTGGGGGCGGTTGGTCAAGAAGTCCAGTAACCATTCACATGAGGGAACTGATGCCCAGGTCTGTCAGTGTCCTGATGAGTTGTGAGGCGAGGATTGTATTGAACACTGAACTGAAACAGTTTCCATTAGTTTATCGCATTTTCCCATCAGCTTTTCTTTGCTTTCTCTCAACATTCCTCTCCATCTCGGTTGTCTGCATTTGGGTCCACACTCTCTCCAATCCACGCCATCTGCCACAGCAGACGTGACAGTTGTTGAAACTCATCAACAGCAGTAATATAATAAATACTTTTGTTCTACTAATAATAAAATATTTTACTTATTTCAGGCTCACACAGTCTGAAACAATCAACCAGGAAGAAAATCAACAACATGTGTACTCGGCTCTTTCCCACGGTCAGGTCTAACACTGTTACATGCTGTGATCAGTCACATTAAACTCTTAAAGAATGATTAAATGTTAGATCATTTGGAGATGTTATTAACTGTTATTAACTTGCAGGTGATCGTTGTATTTATATCTGTGTAGATACTTACATTGTTACATACATTCCCTATGTAGATACCTCTCAAACTTTAAGTCTTTTTTTCTCTTATTCTAAAGGAATTTTAGTGTAAAGCTCTACATGCTGCTAATAGAAAGATGACAAACTGTGTTTCATTATTCTTGTAACATTGACAATAAAGATCTATTCTATTCGAATCTATTATTTACCCTTGATAAAATACTATATAGATATTAATAGGTAATAGTTAATACATATTTCCTATATTTATTTTTATATAATACAGTACAGTGCAGAGGTCTTCAGTAACACTTCATATATTTATATTTTGGTTCAGAGGAGCCAGACTTCAAGGGAGCCAGGGTCAAACAGACTGAAATTTAAGAAGACATATAGAAAAAAAAAAAAAAACAGAAAAGTGCAACAGAAGCACATGAAACACAATGGAAATTCAATAAAACATAATAGACATGAAAAATGAATTGTTTCTGAGGACACAATAATGTGTCGGCTCAGCTGCGGAAGTGTGTTGTTTTAATCAGATGATTCATATAATATTGTAGATACATTTTTGCTATTAGTCATGTAATGTTTGTCACTTCTGCAGCTAGTTTGCTGAGCTATGAGGAAACAGCAGTTAGACAATGTTAACACATCAGTATATACAGACAAAGTGCAGTGGTAGAACTGATTTCATTCACAACAAACATGTCAGCAGCATCCAGTGTCTGATTATTCCTCTTGTATGACGATGCAAAGTTGTAACAATATGTAATGTTGGCAGACAAATAAGAATACATTTTTTGTTTTGTTTTTTTACAAACAGGAGTTCCTACATATTATATACAAATAGTCCTAATCTTATTTTTAAAACAATAACTTCAGCAATATCATGTCATTTCTGTTCTGAGCACGCTGCATAGAAATAATGTTGTTTGTTTGTTGTTTACTTCCTTGTATACCAAGTCCCCACCCAAGCCACAAAGTCTGGTTAAGCTTTGTGCTATTAAAAGCCTTATCATGCAAGCAAGATCAGAAACACTGCAGACATAACAAGAAAATATGCATTGCTTTCCTTTACATATTGAGAATGAGAAAGCAATGCTTAGCAGGGCTGTTTAAATGTTTACTGATACACTGGACAAAGTTTCACTAGTATCACTTTAGACCAAAATCACTTCCTTTAAAATAAATAAATAAATAAAAAATAGGAATGATATGAAACATGTCAGCTGTAGCCAGTGCTTGATGATTCCTCTTGCATTACAGAGCAAAGTTGGTGTTTTTTAAAATGTTTAAGTCCGATTCAAACTAATAAACACCCTCACTTGGCAAACTCGATGGGTTAATCTACTGGATCCATACTGCCCTCTATTTCAGACATGCAGGAGTGAATAGTGAATGAAGCTTGGCCCAGCACTCACATAAATGTCCTTCCTGCTGAAATACAATTAGATAGAAACTCTGACCTCCGACACAGCTGCTTGTACCAGTAAACACAGAAACTGTAATGTTAATGCAGAGTTGGACTGACTAGTAATTGGGGCCAAGGATTGCTATTAGATGTAAGTAGCATTTTGTAGTGGTCCTGAACATTTAGGCCGCTTTCTGTGACATAGTAAAAACAGGCAATGCTATATGCTATAATATTTTTTGTTTAACTTTTTGTTTTAATATTTTATAGCTGATCTGTGTACATCATGCCAGCTTATGACCGCTTCTTCTGCTTCTATTTAGACTGAAACCTCACCCGCTCTCGGTTATTTTTTTTTCTGTGCTTCCTTGTGAAGGCAGAGCTTGATATATGAGAATAGGAAACAGACGTCGTTCCTCTCCCCACAGCGATTGTTGGGGGTCGACTTTGTTATCGTAGCTACTTCATACACAGCATTATGCTGCTTCTCTGTGTCTGCCTCTATTGTAAGTACACCTGTGCTTTCAGATCTTTGTGATGCATGTATTTTGTAAAACTTGTATTTAACTCTGATACATGGTTAGGGTAGAGTGTGTAGGTCAAAAGTGCTTCTGCTTTTGAGAAGTGGCGTGTCGTCCTTAGAAGAGGCTTGCACTGTATTTCTCATGTGTGTTTCCAAATGCAGTATTACTAAATGCAGTGGGGGCTTTAGAGCTATAATAATAACATGAGCATCAATATTAAAGAAATATTTAAAGAATTTCATGTTATCAACATCTAATTATTCTGAAGGTCAAAGTTTTCTCCTAATTTAAAAAAAGTTACACATTTACCATGGTCAACATTTGTTACAGGTCTGTTCTCTCTGCTTGAGTATTTATAACTTACATCCACTTGCACTTACAAGTGGTTTTGCATCTTTGCTACATCAACAGAGTTCCTGCTGCTTCTGTTTGGAAATCAAATCAAAGCAACTTCAGGATTTATAATTCTTTATCTTTCTCTTGCTTCTTGTATATTTTTAAGTGCTGGTTTTATGGTATGCTTTACCACATATTTATAACTGTATGCATATATATAACTTCCTTTGATAGTAATGGAGAGAGTTGGACATTCTAGAAATTTAACAGAAATATATGAGTTGATCCAAGTGTTGCTTTTCTTCTATTGAGAGTAAACATTATAAATTGCTGCTAAACTACTAATCAAAGCTATTGTATTTAATATTGTAACCGCTTTTAAAGAACACTTACTTTTTAACAGCAACTTTTTTTTTTTTATAATTCTGTGTTTTTCCATTATTATTGTTTTTCCATCTAGTAACAGCAACATAAAATTAATGTTATTGATGGCATATTATTCAGTTACCTGTTTAAATGTTAGTCACCTGACATATTTTTCTCATTCTGTGATACATTTTTTAAAATGATCCAAATCTGATATTTTAGCATTTTTAGACAAAAGAATAAGGTTGAGGGCAATGTGGTCTTGTTTTTCTTCACTCACTTTTCATAAATATTATACTTGGTATTTGTATGGGGTTTTTTTCAGATGTGGAGACTTCCAGTGGAAAACATGTTATTTATAAAAAAGTTGGAGATACTGTGGAGCTTTCATCAGGCTTACCAACTGAAGGGGTGACTGCGGCAACATGGAGATATGGAGAAATAATAATTGCAGACAAAGACTTTGAAAACAATATGGGTGTTTCTAAAAGATCTCCATTTAAGGACAGATCAGGGCTAAACCATGAAAACTTTACTTTAACAGTAAGGAAATTGACTCTTCAAGATTCTGGCGATTTCATTTTTGTGTCAGCAACAAAAGAGAAACAGAGGGATTCAGTCATCATCACTCTGCAAGTTCATGGTAAGATACTATATAAATATAAATTTATTTGTAATATTATTATTACATTGTAGATTGTGGTGGATTTTTGTGTGACTCTATATAACTATATATACTATATATTTATCTGTACTGAACATATATATTTCAACTTTCACGTAGAGTCTTAAGCACATGGTTTATTAAGATGGTACAGTAACAGGGTAGTTAATGTAAGGGGAGAGTTCTCCTGAATAACTCACTCTCCAGCTCCGGTAACTAACCTCCCCCAAGTCTTTCATGCAGCACAACCAAAACAGTAACACTAAACAGAGATCCTGAAAACATCACAATTTCAGTATCATACGATATAATCACACACACACACACACTCACTACGAATCTACACTTAAGTTTTTAATGTAGTTATAAGATTCTATATTAAAAGATTGTGCCACTCACTGTGTAAGATTTAATAATTAGGATTAATGTGCAATGTTTTACCGTGTCACGACCTATTGCAGGGGTGCCAAACTCCAGGCCTCGAGGGGACTCTGTCAACACACCTGAATCACATGATTAGTTCATTACCAGGCCTCTGCAGAACTTCAAGATATGTTGAGGATGTCATTTAGCCATTTAAATCAGCTGTGTTGAATCAAGGACACATCTAAAACCTGCAGGACACCCGCCCTCGAGGCCTGGAGTTTGACACCTGTGACCTATTGTGACAAGTCAAAGCTAAAGGGTAGCCAGAGTCCTGACAGGCCGCTGGCCAGGACCTTGGCTGCTACCTGACCCTGCAGCTGTGTTTGGCTGGAGGACAGGTGGGAAAGTTATCCAGCAGCAAGTGGCGTTGATACAGATGACACTCCAGCACTTTTTTTTACTACTGCTACTTCTCCATCTCTGTGTTACTCTGCTGTCTGTGCTTAAGGCTGTACACCCCGGGGTTTTGCTTTGCTTGCTTTCTGCTATGTAACTCTCTTGCTACATGTATGCATGTAGTTTTCCTGCTGTTCATATGATTCAGTGTAGTAAACTCTGTTCCAAGAATTCTAGTCTTTTTGAGTGCCTTGATTTTAATCGGATCTAATAAAGTTGGATCTCGACATCGTTGGTGGGAGAAGGTTATCAGGATGGCTAAAAAATTGTGACCATAAGATACATACTGAAGACATGAAATATATGAAGCAATATATATGAAATCATGTAGGAAAAGACTATTGTCCTGCTAAACTACTTATCACTGTCTCCTTCTGTCCTCTTTTTTTCTCATCAGAGCCCATAACTAAACAGCCTGTCATAAAAATCAATTCTACCTGGATTTCCTCCAATGAATCATGTAAAGTTCTGCTGGAGTGCAGCACAACTG